GAGAGTTCCAGGACAGCCTGGTCTACAGAGAGAGTTCCAGGACAGCCAGGGCTACACAGAGAAATTCTGTCTCAAATAAAACAAAAACAAACAAAAACAAACAAAAAAAAACAAAAAAAAAGGAAGAAGGACAAAAAGAAGCAGAGAGAGTGAGAAATGGACACAATTAATTAATTAATTAATTAATAATAATAGACTTCAATCTCCCTGCTTCTGCTCTCTGGAGTTGGTCTTGCTTGGCTGCTTTTATGAACAAAAAAAACAGAGAGGACCATGCTGGGATTGTACAGTTTTTCCAGAGTCTATCCAGGCAGAGCGGGAGGTTACCACAGGTGCTGCTGAGCCAGCACCAGCTGCTCTGATCCACAGGCGCCACCTGGAGGCTAGGACACTTTCAGTAGAGAGCATCACCAATTTTTTTCCAAGTATAAGAGGGATTGAATGGTGAGGAATCCAAATGGTGACATCTCATCCTTATCAGGAAACTACAGACAAAAGACACCCAGCTGTGGGAGTGACAGGCTGCTGAAGATGCCCCAACATTTTTATAACAAACAAATTAGTTTTTCATCCATCCAAGGCCAGAGAGGACCAACAACATGAGGTGTCGGTTAAGAAAGACCTGCCTGGCAGATCCATAAAGTCGTATGTGTACAGACATGAAATTAGAGGAGAAACTGCTTATGGGGACAAAGTAAGCTAAAAGAAGGGGGCAGGGTACAAAAGGGAAGAGTAGCCAGAATATGCTCAGAGCACATTATATAGTTACACACACACACACACACACTCACACACACACACAAACACTTTATGTAACTCATTTGATTAAACTTTTAAAGAATTTAAAGAAAAATTACTTACTTTCCAGCTCTTGATTTCTGTCCTGGCCAACCTGGGATGGGAGGTGTCAGAAACATCTCCAGGATTGAGAACAGGGAGGTGGGGTTGGAATTCTTGGTACAGAAAAAGAAGATAACCTGGACGCCTTTCTCTGGATGCTGCCTGTTATCAGTTTGCAGGGAGCACTCCCACGATTACAAACAAGGCGGGCTTTTATGGAAGCACAGTTTACAGAATTCACAATTTCTTGAGAAAATTCAACATGACTTCCCCGAGCTAAAACTCTGGGTTCCCAGTAATGTTTCACCAAAGCTTTGAAGAACATGCAGTCTTCAAAATAGCTCAACCCAGCTCAAAGAAAACCACCAGTGAATCACTTGCTGTGTGGAGCACAGCGCAAGCTCTTAGGTATAACTGGAAACAGAAAACTCTATGGAGCATGGTTCCAGGGGCTTCTGAAGAAAAGAACAAACCCAGACTCAGATTAATTTTTCCAAAGTTCTGGATATTTACAGAGACCTTACAGTGCTCATCAACACGTGGGATGGAGCAGGCAGGCGGGGTGGGCCCGGATCGGGGGGGGGGCGGGGGGGATGGGGAGAGGAGCAATAGCTCAGTCATTAAAATGCCTGCCATACAAGCCTGAGGACTGGATTCAGTTCCCTGCACCCACATAAGCATGGCACACCTGTAATCCTCGTGCTGTAGAAGCCCAAACAGGAGGATATCTGAGGCTCGTGGCCAGGCAGTGTAGCCTAATCAGCAAGTTCCAGGGCAGTAGGAGACCCTGTCTTATAGAACTCTCCTAAGGAGCAATAGCTGAGGTTGATCTCGCGCGCGCACACACACACACACACACACACACTCACAGTGTCTGCTGAAAGAACTGTTTATTAGCTGGACAAATCCAACTCCTGGAAGACGTTAAGTCATCTTTGAAGGAAGGAGATTCTCACTCCAACTCCAGCATTTGTGTTGTCTTTCAGTAACTATTCTCACGCCCTCTCACATTTGCGTTTCCTGATACAGGTAATAAAGGTCTAGCTGGCAGCCAGGCTAGATGATTCTGGATCCCACATCCTCCTGCAAGTCTCTGGTTGCTTTATCATAAAAGTAAATATAGAAGCAGGGCATGGTGGCACGTGCCTTTAACACCAGCACTGGGGCGGGGCGGGGCGGGGCGGGGCGGGGCGGGGCGGGGAGCAGAGGCAGGCAGACCTCTGTGACTCAGCCTGGTCTACAAAGCACGTTCAAGATAGCCAGAGCTATTACACAGAGAAAACTTGTCTCAAAAAAAAAAAAAAAATCAGGTATTGTGACTGTGATGGTTAACGTCAGTTATCATCTCGACACAATGTGAGTCACCTGGAAAGAGAGTTTCAGCGAGTGATGGTCTCCATTATTCATTGACGTGGGAAGACAAAGCCTAAAAGAGGGTGGCACCATTTCCTCGGTTTGAGTCTTGGGCTATATAAGAGAGGGTTGGAGGGTGAGGCAAGGATGCATTCATCCCTCTCTGTCCTTGACTGAGGATGGCTATTGGTTTAAGTTCCTTAACATCTCTATAATGATGGACTATAACCTGGAATTGTGAGCTAAAATGAAGCCTTTCTAGCCTAACATGCTTTGCTCAGGGCACTTTGTCATAGCAATAGGAAAGGAAATAAGAGCCCTTTCTTGTTTGCTTCCCACAGCGTTCCCCTGGCCACCCGTGGCAAGCACTTTGCTGACCGACTGAATCATCCCCCTAGCATCTCAACCCCACTGCCTCGCTATTTTCCTTTAACATTCATCAACTTACTAGTTTTGAAGATATCTTTCTAATACACAGAATGTCTCAACTTGGATTTGCTTGGTTTCCTCATGGTTGGACTGAAATGATACATCTTCAGCAAGAATACTACAGGGGTGCTGTGTTCTCATTACACTGTCTGGTGGCCTAACTCTCGTCACCTGATCAAGTGTGATCAAGTGGTGTCTGCTAGGTTCTTCCACTCTAAAGTTAGCTTATTTTCTGTGATTGCTGCTTTCTGGCGTGATCCCTTAAGACAATTATGTTTATGTTTGTGTTGCTAGAGGATCCCATCTTATTCCATTGTCATTGCTGCTGTCATCATACTAAATGTCCTTTAACTAAGTCACCAAGAATCTAACTGATCAGGTGTGCCAGCCTGCAAAAATGGCTGCTACAACAAGCCAGAGACTACCAGAAACTCATGGCTGAGTAAAAATGAATTGCGATCTTTCAAGACTGACCCAGAGGTATGGAGTCTCATTAAATATGTTATCTTCAAGACGGAGTTTAAAGGGCAAGTTTTTATTTCTAATTGAAGCTGCCTCTTTCATGTAATGCAGAGTCTCTGTGGAAGTCAGAAGATGATATGCCTTTTCTGATAAGGGTGGTACATGGGCTCGTGATGGGAACTACACAACATTTGTTTATAGAGATTTCCCTCCCCTTCTGAGAATTCACTCAGGCAGGAGTCTGGTAATATTAACCCTAGAGAGCATGGCTCTCAACACTTACATAAAGAACCGGTCTTGCTACCGTCCTTTCTCTCCTCCCCATGCCAACTGGAACAAACCACACTGGTGTCAGCCAACATGCCCAGGAGTGAGTGTGCAGACTCCAAGTGACAATCCTTGACGACCTGCCACAGCCTGGCTTTGAGGGTCTAGAGATATTTGAATTACTTCTCTAGATGTCTACATGTGCAGGGCTTGGAGAACCAAATAACACCAGTTACCATCCATGACAGCGTTCCTTGGACTAAATAAGACCTTGAATTGGAGAACAGTATCCTAGACGTTTCCCAACACAAACTAAAGATATGACATTCCAAAGCTTAGTGGCTCTGCAAAACAACGCTGTATTTGTCATTGTGTTTTGTGAAAATAGTCTATGTGATAGCATGGAGATAGAAATATATACACAAAGAATTGAGCCAATAAAAAAATGAGGCTGTGTTCTTGTGTTTCTTTTGTTTTCAGACCAACAAAACCATGATCCTCAATTAAATCAGCATTCTCTACTGGGTGCTGGGTGCAAAGCACAAGGTACTTACACACACACACACACACACAAACACACACACACACACAGGTTACTTGATTAGTGCCCTAACTAAAACCTGCAGATACCCCAAACTCCTTTTTGCCAACTGCTTAGTCTATCCACAATTAGCTACCTTCTACTTTTCACTCTTCCCTGTAAAAGATAGTATACTAACAGTAACATGAGAAAAACATGAGTAGCAGAAAAGACAAGAACAAAAAGATTTACATAGCTCCCAGATTACCCAGTAAGTTAACTAATTTCATATTGCATTTAATCATTCCATACCTTAGAAATCAAATCCCATTACAGATGGCTGTGAGCTATCATATAAATGCTGGGAATTGATCTCAGGACCTCCAGAAGTGCTCTTAACCACTAAGCCATCTATCCAGCCCCCCCCCCCAGAATCTTTTAAAATCAGTTAAACATTGATTTAACCTTCTATAGGCCAGAGAGATACACTCTCCCCCATAATATTAGCAAGGGTACTGAAAAAAAAATTATCTGTTGAACAGGTAACTTTTGGATATGCCAGGCTCCATGTAGGCTCTGACTCTGTCCATCATGGATTTCATGCTGAGAATATGTGTCACAATAGGGGAAAATAGGAAAAAATAGAGAAAATAGGGAAAGCCTTAGAGACTGAATTCCATCCTCTCAGGGATTTTCAGAAAATCCTGTGTCTCTTACTCTTAAATTGAGGAATTAACCTTTACATGAATGAGGTGTTAAGACATTTGTCTTATGGAGATGCTACAAATACTTCCTATGAAATTAGTCTGTTCTTCTGTTTCCTACTACTTACTTCACAGTTGTCATTAAGAGGTTTTGTGAATGTAGTGCTTACAACCCTCCAGCATTAACAAGGGAACTCTCTCCATTACAGGCACCATTAAACACTTCGACCAAAAGCTACTTGGAGAAAGGGACTTATTTTATTTTAGCTTAAAATTCCAGGCTGCAGTCCATCAGTGTGGGTAATAAAAGGTAGCTTACAGTATCACATCCACAATCAAATGCAGAGAAAATGAACATATCCATGCTGCCTGCTTCCTAGCTTTCTTTACTTACAGTTTTGGATCCAATTTAGCAGCTGCCACTAACAGTGAGCTTACCTTCCCACCTCATCTAGAGAATTCCTAAGACCATACTCCCAGGTCAAAGCCTGGCAATCTGAGTTCCATCCTCAAGACCTATATGGTACAAGGTAAGTGCTGATTCCAAAAAGCTACCCTCCTAATACCTCCACATGCATTATGACATTTATGCTTCCATACACACACACACACACACACACACACACACACAGTAAACAAATTTAACTCTCTTCCCAGGTTATTCTAGGTTATGTCAAGTTGATAGCTAGTATATACCTGCCATCATTTAATTATTCAGACTTATCCAAATGTTCAACATCCTTCCTTTATCGTCTGACACATTTGACAGACTGATAAATCTGAGAGCAGGAAAAATCAATTGTTTAAAGTTATTACATTCATTCCATTTAAATGGAAGAAAAACACTAACCAATGGATGTACTGAGGCCTTCTAAATGATGGCATCTCAAATTTAACATGCCTGTACATACCCCATGAACTTCTGGGTCACAACCTGTGACTTACTTTTAGGAGTGTGGGCGATTGATACCAGGGCCTGCACATAACAACCATACTAGTGACTCTCCTTCTTATGTACTGCCATTGCTGACACCACGAGTGCCACATCCTGAAGAAACACAGCTCTAACGTAGTTGAGACTTGAGCTAAATGCTAACCTTTAGTAATTTAACTGGCTGGGTGTATTGGAGCATGCCTGTAATCTCAGCCCTTGGAAGGTACATGAGAATTATAAGCCAGCCTGGACTCTATACACAGGAAAAATTAGTAATGAAGCATTCTTTCTGAAAGTGTTGAGTGCACTGGCTTGCACCTGGGATCACAGCTAGGATGCTGAAGCAGAAGAATCACTTGATCAAGACCAGCCTGAAAGCACTGGCTGGCTACCTGGAAAATATAATAACTCAGGGGTTCAGCATTATGGGGCTGCAGGGGAGCAGGGGGGAGTCTTATTATACTGATAATGATATCTGCTGCTACACAGCCACTAAGATTTCCTTTTCCTTTGGCAAACTACTTTGAAGCATTGCTTCTCCAACTCTGCTATACACAACACCTCTGAACAGCTTGGTGCAATGCCACCATTGTACAATTCCTCCTTTAAGCCAGGGATAGTTCAGGGTTAGAAAACCCTTTCCTTCCTTCTAGAGGAGAATGGAATGCTATCCAAATGGGCCCTAGAACAAACCTCCAACACTGGCTAAATCATAATGGTAATTTACTTTTTCACTTAAGATTTCCCTTTGTGTTTCTATTTTTACATCTCCAGGTCTCAACAGATACATCATGCTCAATTCCACTTCCTTCCAATACACCTCCCAGTTTCTTTGCATATTCCAAACTTCAATTTTGTGATCTTGTTTTCTTCAATCTTAAAATGTTTTCAATTATTTCTTCCAAAATGAGGGGCCACCTAATATTCAATATTAACTTTGAGAGCATGAAAATTCAAAGTACTCTACAATTCCCCAAGACTATTTACATGACACTTACACCAGCAATCCTACAGTTGAAAAAAAAAAAAAATCAGACTGTCACAGTACAGTCTTTTTGGTGACTCATGCACACACAAAACTTAAGTTTCACAGAACGAGATCTAAGAAAAATGAACTATAAATAAGTATGATTCTGTGTTAAATAAATGGGGGAAAAAAATCAAAGAAATGGAAAGAAAAGACCACTTTAAGGATTATAAAAGTTATATTTATTCACGATGCTACATATTGCATTCCCTTAGAAAAATGGAGAACTGCTTATGTACCCAATTTGCACATATAAAACTTTATACAAATGATGTGTAGCACATAAAGGCCTCTGGGTATTCCTGCTTCAGGGTCTCCAGTTTACCAGTCTATTCCATAGAAAATAAAAACTGGAATTATACTCCATCTTGCTACCAAGACTTAGAAGTTATTTTTAAAATATAATAAAATAAAATTTTCATTTACTCTAAAAACTTAAAAATACTATAAACTGAGAGGGTACATTCTATTAGCATTATAACAGTATGACAAATTCAAACTTTATTTTGGCTGGGTCATTCAAATTTAAAAAAAAAAAAAAATCACCTTACTTCTGACATTATCTTTCTAAGTTGTGGCTACTGCAGGCCATTTGTCAAAATATTTTCCAAATACTTAAAAAAATTCCTTTTACAAAATAATACATCACCTTAAAGAACCAGAAAATACTAAATGTCTTTGGCTATACAACTAAAAAGGCCATTCATCCAACAAATTAGGACACATTCACATCAGAACCATAGGAACAGAAAGTGTAACAGAAATATGCATAGAAAATTATTATTACTTGTCTTCCCCCATTCTATAATAAGCAAGAATGCAATTTACAATCTTTCCAGATGAGACTCAATAGTACTACAAAAAAAATTTTTTCAGCAAAGGCAAAAAATGTGAAGTAATTAATTACACAACAAGTAGAAGGGACCAATCAAATGTTATCTGCAATATTTTTTTTACTTGTTTGCTCGTTTTTAAGCTATACAAGTGTTAAAGTAGCTGATAAAACGCCACAATCCTCACAAATGAAACTATTAGAAAAATAAATCAAGTGAAACATTTATTAATAAATGAAGCCTGTTTTATTACTTCAATTGTTAATGATAAAAAAAATTTCAGCACAGCTGTTGCATTTTAAAAAAGTGAAAGTACATACTATGTTTCTAGCTCAGGAAGCAGATGGCCCTGATGTCTGAATGACATAACAGTTGAGTACTGTACAGCACATCTTATGAAGACCCGTAAATTAAAGAACTACTAGTTAGTGATTATAAGACAAAAATGCATTCATAGTTTCAGCTTCTTTTTTCTTCCACGGCCATCAGGGGCACCGTCCATTTTACGTTTCTGTGTCTATAAACAAACAACAATTAGTTCTCATAACAAGTCAAAAATGATACAAATAAATTAAAATATTCTCCAACATGATGCAGTATGTTAGTAGTAACTAACATATGACAGACAGTGTGAGACTTTTCTCCAGGGCTACATAACAAATCTTTTGAAACAACTATCAGATCTCTAAATAATATACTGCTGTTAAATAACAAGATGCCTATGTCCTCCTGAAATATTTACATTCAAACTGCTAACACATTACCAAGACAGTGAACTAAAGCTTCCAAGAGTACCAGAGAACCTGTAACGCTACTTACTATGTTTAATATTCTAATATTCCTTAAAAGACTCCTAAAATTTCAAGAACTCTGAAGAACGAGTGTGCAATCAGAAGACTTCCAGCTCTTCAGAGTATAGTGCTTTTGCATATTTAGTGCTTCACATTCAGTTTATATTTTTAAGGCAACTCAAATGTATTATTTACAAAAAAAAAAGACAAAACAACGTTCAAATACTTTAAAAGCTAGTTAAGATGGGGTTTGCTGTAAGCTGGCTGGAGGGTAAACCGCTTCTCATGAAAGCATGAGGACCTGAGTTCTGATCCCCACACTCCAGTCAAGCCCCACGACCCATCAATGAAGGAATATGGGTCAGGAAAAGAAGATGTGCTTACAACAGCCAATCCAGCCAAAACAGCAAGCTGCAAACTCAGTGAGACTCTCTTC